GAAATTAGGCCACGCTTTGCGATAATAATATATAGGAATCTTACGCTAGCTATTATAGGTATTATATTAGTTAGTTAGAATTACGTTAGCCCTACTATAAAGTAACCTTAGAAAGTAACTCCTTTATATATATAAGGTATATAGCGTTAATTAGTAATACGAGCGTTTTTAGTTAATAGTTAATTATATAATTATCCTTAACCTTATCTTATAATAATATCTTCTTAAGCTTTACTTTATTTTTCTACTATAAGGCTTAGCGGGCTATTTTTTATTAATACTAGCCTTTAGCCGGGCCGGTATTTAGGTTATCGTACTAGTATTATACTATACTTATTAAGTTACTAGTATCGGCCCTAGGGTTTTTTTTTCCTAGTTAGGGGGCCTAGACTAAGGTTAAGGGGAGGTCCTAATAAATTCGTCGCTAGGTCTAAGTAGATAAGGTCTAGGCCGGCTTACTTATAGCGGGGCTAGACTACTAGTATATTTATAAGCGCTTTTAAAAGCGCTAATTAGCTAATTAATTAATAGGTTAGCGTAGTTTATTAGTCCGACTAAAAATTAATCGTAACCTTAGTCGGATTTAAACCGACTTTAGTATTATAGCTAGTAGACTTCCTAGGTATATAACTACTATACTATAAGGGTAAAACTAATATATTAGACTTTACTTTAAGGGTATAAATCGGATAAAAAGATAATAAAGAAAGACTATTCTTAATTATATTTTATTTAAAGAAGCTATATAGTATAGAACTTAATTACCTTATTTATAATAAAGAGTTCCTTATAGTTATTTAAGCTTTTAAGAAATTTTAATATTACTTTCTTAATAGTAAATATAAAGTTAAGGTTTATATAGATTATAAGAATATCTTATACTTTATAATAACGTAATAATTAAACGAATAATAGATTTAGTAGGCTAAATACTTATTAAAACTTAACTATAAAATAATTATTAAAAAAGGAATAAAAATTAGTTAAGTTAATACCCTTAGTTAATAAAGTAACTATAATATAAAAGTACTTATAGTAATAAGATAACTCCTAGAAATTAACGAAAATAGGAACTTATTATAAAGCGTAGCTTAATTTTATAGTTCTTAGAGATACCCCTTAATAAGAGTAACCTAGGAGGCTAAAAAACCGGTTTAAAAGAAAGAGCTAAAAAGAGGTATAGAGAAGAGGGTAGGGGTATAAGAGGAAGTAAAAATAGCGATAGCTTCCTATAAAGGTAGTAAGAGATAAGACGGATATACTAGTAACGGCTAGAAAAGAGAGGGAAAACTAGTAAAAAGCTTAGTAGTTAAGAGGATATTAATAGCTTCTTTAAGTAAGATCTTCTTTATTAATTAAAATGCTAGATAGGTATAAAGAGGAGCGTTAAATAAAGGAAAGAAGGAAAATTAAGGCAATATAATAATTACTCCCTTATTATAGTTACTACCCTTATAAGAATTAAATATCTTTACCTTACCTATCTAACCTCTTACCTTTAATTTTACCTTTATATATTTTATATATACTTATTATATCTCTTCTTATAATAATTAGACTATAAAATAAAAGCTCTTAGTATTTCTCTATATCTATATATATAATAAGCTATAGAGAAATATAGCCTACTACTTTAAAATAAGTTAATTATTAGTCTTTTAGATCTTCTATAAATTAATTAAGCGAATAAAGCGTTTATTTACTTATTTTATTTATCTTTTAAAGCCTAGGTATATCTCGCTAGTTATTAAATTTAATAGGAAGTTAATATAATTTAATAGAGCTATTAGCGCGCTTAATAATATATATATTCCTACCTTTATCCTATAGCTTTATTAAAAGAGGTTTTAGTTAAAGAATAATAATATCTTATAAAATAAACTTACTATTATTATATTTAATAGGCTTTTTAGCTATATACTTACTAGGGCTAAGGGCTTAATTTATAACTTACTATTGCTTTATATCGCTCTTATAAAGAGACTTATAATACTATAGTCTCGTCTCTTTATTAGTAATACTAGCTTTAGTATAAAGCGAGGAATTATTATAATAAATAGTAATATATAATACTACTTTATAGATTAAGGCGAGGCTAGGCGGCGGCTAAAGAATAAGTAAGAGATCTTTAAACTATAGTACGCTTAGCTTTATTATTACGACCACGGCTACTAGGCCGCTAATAGTCGACCGCGTTAAGCATATAATACGGTCTAGCGGATAAATAGTTAGCCCGACTATCTAATAGGTATAGGATCGAAGGGATCGTAGAGATCTAAGCGATCTAGGATTAACGAGATTACTACGCTCTATATAATCTAACGTTAGGGATTATAGCTAGGCCTATAATCTAAGGATAGTCTCTATAGGTTTATATAGCTACCTACTTTTACTCCTTTAAATAGATAGCTCTCTCTCTTTTAATATAATTATTACGATCCTATTAAGATAAGAAAGGGCCTATAATACGTATTAGTAATACCTTTATTAGGGGTATCTTTATTTTATATAGTATAGCGGTATTTTACTAGCTTAATAGATCCTTATTATAATCTTATCTTTAATTCTAATTATATAATTATATAGTAATAGTCTATAGTCTATAACCTCTAACTTATTACTAACGTAATACCTATTATTACTTAGACTACGCCCTATTATATCCGCTAATATAAACCCCTCGATAGGTTTATCCCTTAGGAATAATACTAGTTATTATATTTATATAACTATTAAGTAAGTATTCGGCCGCTATAAATATAAGTAAAAGATTATTTAATATAGTATACTTAAATATACCTTTATTAACTAAGTAAAGCTTATATATATAGTAATAGGGCTTTTTAACTTTATTTAAATAGGTAGAAAGGATTATAAAGAGAGAAAGTAAGAGGAGGAATATTACCTTCTAAGATTTAAGCGTTTAGTTCTTTAAAGGGCTCGTTAGCGGGCTAATTTTATTATTATAGGCCTTAAAGGCATAGAATTACGAGAGTTAATCGCGGGCTAGCTATAGGAAATATACTAGGACGTTCTAGCTTAGTAGGAGAGGGGCGACGATACTAATAATAATAAAGTTATAGATTATTTGCGAGGCGTTATAGATTAGGTTCTACGGGATACTAAGGAAGTCACTTAACGGACCCGGATAACTATAAGCTGCCGGACTAGTAGGGAAACCTATTCCCCCCTACACTTCGTATATATATATATAGTCATACCTACGGACTCCCTCTTTTAGGCAGGATAGCGCAATCTACACCCTCTTTCTTTAATGTAAAGACCTAATAACTAGTAATAGGTTTCGTAGCACACGTGGGTATCGTCTGGAGGCCCGCAATTTAACAACCCCACTTATTTCCACGCGCCCATTAGCCCTTTCGACACGAGTTATTTCCTTCTCTATATCGTCGCCATCTTTGTCGATCCTCTTTGTTAGACATCGTTGGCTAGGCAGGAGCGTCTATGGGTGCGACGCATCGAGAAGAAGCTAGCAGAGAATTATAGAACGTTTTATGTTCGCGGAGTTCCTTGCGAATGGGATTCCGTCTACTTACAATCCTTCCTAAAAGGACGCGACTCGGTTCTAATAGCCAAATCACTCACACACGAAATCCATGGCCGCTCGTCGTCGGGCACGGTCTTCCGAGACGTCCCGGCCGCCCTCCGCAAGCTTCCAATAAAGCCTCGGAATCTGGATCTATTAAAGGCCTCGGAGGCGCAATCCGCACGCCCCGAATTTCTCACGCTAGACGCCGAATTTCTCGGCATAACGACACTCTTCGCGCCGCCCGAGGAGGACCATAGTGTTAAGTAAGGATCTATCCTCTGGCGATGACGAATGCTAATTACCTAATTTTCGTTTCAATATCGGGCCTCGGCGGCCATACGTTCGGGTCGTTTAAACAGAGAAGAGGGGATCACATGTGGCTGCGAGACGCCCTGCCGTACGATCTCCGGAGCGAGGCCACCGATAGACCGATGGCGCGAGTGGTGACGTACGGGTATAAGTCGGCGATCGCAGAGAGTCAAAGCATATAGAATTTAGAAGACTTGGCAACGGCATTCTACACTAGCCTCCGTCCGTTGGCCTCCTCTCTATAGACGAAGCCTATCCTATTTATTGCCTATAGTCTGGGAGGACTGATCGTGAAGCAGGTGGGTCCGACGACACTAGAGCCCCTAGGGTCCCGTATTTGCTAATGCGTTTCGCAGACGCTCATCTCGCTAGCAAGGTCAAAGGATAAGGACGATGAGAAGCTCGTGTAGGCTGTGTATAGAATCGTATTCTTCGGCGTTCCCCACGACGGCATAGATATTAGTTTACTTATCCCTATAGTTAAAGACGGGCTATACTAATTTCTTATTTAATCAATTAGTCGGATCAATTCGCAGATATTGAGCATCTAGCAGCGGGACTTCCATACAGCACTTATTGCACCAAAAGTAGAACGCGCGCTCCAACAAGTAGTGCGAAATTGACAGTTATAGCATGTGGTCTGTGCGTGACAAGTCCTATAACAATAGGCGAGGTACTAGCGACTATGGACGACTAGCTATACGACTTTATAACCAAACCCCCCGGGGCAGCACCAGATATACCAGACTCCTTAAGAGGTCCCCGTTCGAATAGGAGATCCTCCAGACCCCTCAGTGGTCGAGGAAGAAGGAATAACAGTCTGCAAATCTCCATTCTTCCCTTGTTTCAAGCTGATAGACCCGGGGACCTCGACTCGTTCGGACCTTGTTCTCGACAGTTTCACGACCACGAACATGAATTTTTAAATAACGAGCACCATTTCAAATCATCTCAAAGATTTCATTCAAACTGCACGATGATGGTCGCAGCCTCCCCCCCAAGCTGCGCAGTACATATGCATTTCGCGGCACATTGAACTTTAACGCCGTGGCGCGCCTCATACCGCTGCGCGCAGCTTGTTTCGCCTCCACCGGGCTTTGTGGACTGCAGCCAAAGGTGCTGTTAGGCTATGGCAAATGCCTTAGAAAAATACCACGTCTCTGTCGAGAACCCATCCGAGCTCTTGCAACCCAGCGCCTACAGCCTTTTCCATGGGAGGAGGCCCGCACACGAGGGCGAGCGTGTCGCCAATCTCGTCGCCCGCCCCCATGGAGGGTGGCGGAGGGAGATGCCGGCGCAGGCATTCGACATTTATGTGTCCTCGGCCCATCTTCCAGCTGCTGCTGGAATGCTCGTCCGAGCTGAGGACGTGCCAGATGCACAAGTTGCCCTCGAGCGAGTATAGCAGCCGGTCAAGCTCCTCGCGGATGAGTATGTCCCTCTCGGTTCGGTTGCCGTAGACAAGCCATACTTGCATGGGCTGGCGACGCTTCGACGGCGGGCAGGCCATATACTCGTCTGCGATGGCCCTGAGCGTCGACCAGATGGGAGTGATGCCGCTGCCGCCAGCAATCATGGCAAGCCGCCTGACTTTGCGGATACGATTGCCGGGCCCCCATTGCACTTGACCGTCGCCAAGGTAAGTAAAATGGCCAACAGGACCCTTGATCTCGACGGTTAACTCGTCTAAACCGCCATCTATCCGCGTGTTTTCGAGAAGCATGGTCATTTTGCCCCCTGGAAAAGTAGCACCTGCCTTGGTGCTCCCACGCGAAGGGAAATACACCTTGATGAGGATATCAAGGAAGCCGCGCTGGTTGTTGTCGCTATACGGCGTATAGGCACGCTGCATCATCTCTCCCTCTCCCGCGGCGTCATTGATCTTCTTGGCCCGCAGGAAGACATGCTGTCCCACAGGCAAACCAAGCTTTTGCTCGTCGTGCGATAGAGCGAAGCGGAAGATTCGCGAGTCATGCGAGGCGGGTTTCTTGCAGACCAACCGGGCCTTCTTCCACCGCCTCGGCTCCAGGAACGGCTTAGACGCATCATCCCGCGCCTCGACGTCCAGGCATGAAGCTTTCTCCCTTGCTGCCTCGTCTTCCAGCTTTCCGATGTGGAACTGACGCAACATCTTTCTGGCATCCATTGAGTGGATGGCCATGAAGTCCTCGGTCACATCCTCACCGGCGACCAGGCGGATGGACTGATCACCTCCAGGGTGGTCTTGAAGGAAGCCAGTGGCGTCGTAGACATGGTTCTGGATGACGAACCAACATGTTGGCCCCTGACCGTCAGCGTGCTGCGCCAGTTCAGAGGCCGTGATGATGTTGGAAGCTTTTGACGGGTCCAGAATCATGCTCGTTGCGTCCTGTTCGGGCCGACCGGCATCCTCTTTGGCTAAGCTCCGAGAAATGGAAGCCGAGGGAGCAGCGTCCAAGGGCCCATCGCCGCCGAAGCGAGCGTGCCTCGGGTCAGTGCCGGAATCTTTCATGCGCTGCATCCAGCCGCCACTGGCGTTGCCGGCAACGGTAGGATGCTCGAACCTGAGGCACCTGCCGTCGACTTCCTTGTGGACAGCAACGCGGAACCACCATGAGTTCATCATGGAGGTGGCATTCCAGTACATGTCTCGAGGCATGACGCTTAGCGCCTCGTCCATGGCGCGGACTGCAATGGCGTTGACGTCGCGGTTGATTAGGCAAGACTGCACGTTGACGTTGAGCTTCCAGAAGCACCAGGAGAAGCTCATCTCAGTCATGCTCAGGTCAATCTTGCCAAAATAATGGTGATCCTGGACAGGGTGTATGCGGTAAAGGTCCTCGGGATACGTGATGTCGGCCAATTTCCAGGTCTGTCCGTCGTCAAACGTCACCTCAACGCGAGTAATGCGACGTCCCCCGCCCGTGTAAGCGTATCCTTGGATGGGGAGCGTTTCGGGCTCAAGGGCAAGTTGAAGCAGCTGGTTGTGTTCGGGTGAGCAAATGGCGGCATTGACATTGAGTTCGTTGATGATGTACTTGGGGTCGTACCACCACTTATCCTCGGTCCTTGCCTGCTCCGCGGTGACCTCGGTGGGGAGAAGCTTGTTATCGAAAAAGTGCAGGTGGTGCTGACTCTCACGATCCGAGACCTCGATGCTTTGGAGCCATTTGACCATGCGTCCCCCGATCTGGCCCGGAACAACTAATCTCAGGGGGTAGCCGTGGTCTGGGGAGAGATCCTCTCCGTTGAGGCCCCACGAGACGAGCATGCCCTTTTTCCGGTCCAAGGCCCAGCTCAATCTCTGCGAGGTGCCGTACTTGCCCTGGGGGAGCTCGTCGGCGCCTTCAAAGATGACGTGCCGAGCGCGACCTGCGACGGGGGTGTCGTACGAAGGGTAAGACGAGTAGAGCGGGCTCTTGGGCTTGCAGTAGTCGAGAATATCGGCAAGGTATACTCCAGTGAAGAGACCAGTGGAAACGCCCGCGGCACCCCAGTTGAAGCCGAGGCCCTTTGCGACCATGTTCTGCTCCTTGCGGCGGTTGCCGGCACAGACGAGAGTGACGGGGAGTGTTATGACTTGGAACCTTTCCTTTAGATCTTGGATGGAAAACTCGTTGCCGTTATCGACGAGGCCGTGCACGCGAAGCCTCCATGCTTTTGCTTGTGGACAGGTGACGCGAGGGGTATAGCCATGACTTCTGACGTAGAAGAGGTTCTGAGGAGTGAGGAAGCCCCGGCTGAAAAGCGTGGAGAGGGGAGCCTCGGTGTTGCAAGGGTGCTTTCCGGTGAGGCGGATCATACACTCATCTCGAGCGATCCAATAGTCTGGCGTCTGAGCATCCGAGGGCAATGGCTGGATGGAATCGGTCTTTGGGATGGTCGGGAGTACGGATTCATCGTACGAGGGACGTGGATCGAACGGCGCCGAGTACACACCCGCTCTCTGTTCTTTGGCGAATAGGCGTGGACTAGGCGGCCCCGGGGTCGTCCCGGGGGACGATTGGATACAAGGTGAAGAGGTGCAAGACCAGTCCTCTCCTTGCTCAGAGAGACTCCATAAGGAGGAAGTAGATGGCTGTATAGGTGTTGATGGCATGGTAAGCGCCATTGCGGACGTGTAAAGGCGCAAAGGAGTAGTGAAAAGGCAAAGGACAGCCTCAGGACATGGTCTATGGCGTGAAATAGGTGGGTTATGGACGCTGAAAAGGAACACCGACGAGCCGGAGGATTAATGGAGCGGTACGGGCCCAATACAGGGGCCTACAGTCATCTTACAGGGGGACTGTCTTGACATTGTGCTCCTCCGTAAAGAGCCTACCTCGTTCAATAGTGCCAACCGGGGGAAACAGTAAACACCAAAGCGTCCGGTACTGCATATCTGGATTCCCTATTAATGGAATTGGAGCTCCATTGCCGCTCTCACTGCTTCACGTGGGCGGCCACTCATCACATAATGTGACACTACAAGACTGGATATTCTATTTTCGATCCTGTCCGCGTAACGGCCGCAGGAGTCTGCCATCATGAGTCCAGACCTCTATCCTGGCCGCATAACTGCCGCAAGAGTCGCTATCATGAGTCCAGACCAAGAATGACGTGGGCGTGGCTTGTGATGCTAGTCATGGTCGTCTCAGATAGATAGTGCCTACTGCCTTGAGTAGTGTAAGCTCGGTAATCAGCATCAGGAGATAGCAGCCAACTATATCTTTTGAAATGTGATGCTAGCCATGATCAAGATCAATGCTAAACTCACGCCCGGGGGCAACCCTTTGTCCTCCAAAGATAAGCTGATACACGTACAGAAGCCAATTACCGCAGGGCGATAATGGCGCTTCAGCCTTTTCCCCCTAGACCGCATTTCCTATCTCTGCATGCATCCACGAGGATGCCGTTGTCTCCATGTCCTTGTGCCAGCCATCTCGCCCCGATAACGAACGTGAAGGTTTTCATTGGTCGGTCTATTGACATGAGCTATCTGGCTTTCTCAGCACTCCTCATGGCTGATTAGGGTGCCATACCTAACCTTGCCCGATCAACCCCAGGTTCTATCGAAGACCAGATATGCTAACCGCGCGTTCAGTTCAAGGTTATGTCGCGCGAGCCCGTGCTGTTGTCGACATGTGCCCACTGGCTGCGTTTCCTTGGCCGAGTTTGACCGTCTCACCGGCCTTTGGCATCTTCATTTTTATCCCTCTTTTCTCGTCAGGCCCAGAGTTCCCTTTATTCCAGGAACATGTTCAAAGCATCCATGAGCCCAACACCGTAGTATAACATCGGAACCTGCCCATACTGCAAAGGAGCCAGCCACCAAGTCTCAGCAATAACCATCTCTGGCCATTGTCCAGTTTCTTCTCCCTTGATTTCTATCCCGGAATGTCTTCTAGACCTTCCAACGAGCGACCATGTTCCGATGCTTCTTCCGCCTCAGCCTCCGAGCGCCCCCCCGCGACTCAGTCTACTACTCCCGCGCCAGATGGCCTCGTTCCAAAGAAGAAGAAGAAGCGCGCTGCCGTTGTCGGTCTTGGCATGGTCGGCATCTCCTTTGTTGAAAAGCTTCTCAAACACGATCTCCGAAGCGGTTGCGACGAGTGGGAGGTGACAGTTTTCGGCGAAGAAGCCCACGTCGCTTATAACCGTGTCGGTCTCACACAATACTTTACAAACCGCTCCGTAGAGGACCTGTATCTCAACCCGGTTGAATGGTATTTGTCCCACGCCGATGGGAAACTTACCCATCACACCTCGAGTCCAGTCGTGTCCATCGACGCCGACGCCAGATCTCTCACCACAGCCGAGGGCCTCGAGTATTCGTACAACGAGTGCATCCTCGCCACCGGCTCTGTTGCTGCTTTGCCACCTTACCTCTCCGAAGAACGGTTCTTCCAGACAAAGGGTTCCTTCGTCTACAGGACCATCAAAGACCTTGATGGCATCATGGCATATGCTGTCGGCGCCCCTAACACACTCGGACACGGCATTCGCAAAGCAGCCGTCATTGGGGGTGGCCTACTCGGTCTTGAAGCAGCCAAAGCTCTTCTCGACTTGGACGGGGTAGATCGGGTTATCCTGGTTGAGCGCAATCGTTGGGTTCTCAGCCGTCAGCTCGACCGGGAAGGCGGCTTGTTGGTCCTGGACAAAGTAAACGCACTCGGAGCCGAGGTGCTCCTTGAGGCGCGGGTGCGAGATATACTTTGCAACGACGACGGGGTGCTCACTGGTCTCCTCCTCCAAGGAAAGGACGAACAGCCCGACCAGCCGTACGACATTGACATGCTCGTCTTTGCCATCGGCATCAACCCTCGAGACGAACTGGCCAAAACCACTCCTCTCGCCGTTTCCAAGCGTGGTGGCGGCTTCATCGTCGACGGTCAACTCCGCACGAACCTGCCCAACATATATGCCATCGGGGAGTGTGCCAACTTTCTCGGCCAGACTTTCGGTTTGATCGCTCCGGGTGTCGAAATGGCCGAAGTCCTTGCCTTTAACCTCACCGAAGGCCGTCATCACAAGCTACGAGATATGAAGCCGCCCGACGTCAGCACCAAGCTCAAGCTCATGGGCGTCGATGTCGCTTCTTTTGGAGACTTCTTTGCGGACCAGGGAAACATCAGCAGGCCTTTTCCAGCCACCTCCGGCAGCTGCAAGGGCGAATCGTTGATTCCCGCTCCGGAACATGTGAAGGAAAGGGTCAAGGCCCTCACCTACCGAGACCCCTTTTCGGACGTGTACAAGAAATACATCTTCACAAGTGACGGCAAGTACATCCTGGGCGGCATGATGGTCGGTGATGTTCGGGACTTTGTCAAACTCGTCGCTCTCTGCAATAGGGGGGCGCCGATCGATAAGCCTCCCGCTGAATTCATCATCGGTGCCAAAAAGGAGGGCGAGAATGAAGGTGACGACCTGCCTGACGATGCTCAGATCTGCAGTTGTCACAATGTGACCAAAGGTGATGTTGTCAGGGGCGTCAAGGCGGGCGGTATCCGTTCGTTGGGCGAGCTGAAGTCGTCGACAAAGTGCGGCACCGGTTGCGGAGGCTGCGTGCCCTTGGCCACCAGCATCCTCCGCGGTGCGCTCAAGGACGCCGGCGTCGAGATATCCAACCATCTCTGCAAGGACTTTGCTTGCTCCCGGCAGGAGCTCTACCAGATAGCCAAATTCAAGAGGCTGAAAGACTTCGCGAGGGTCATGCGGACCGCTGGAAAGAAACCCGACAGCCTCGGTTGCGAGGTTTGCCGACCAGCCGTCGGTTCCATCCTCAGCTCGCTATACAATGAGTGGATAATGCGGCCTTTGTTGCGTCAGACGCAGGACACCAACGATCGATACCTCGCCAACGTACAGCGAGACGGCACTTATTCCGTCGTCCCCCGTCTTCCAGCTGGTGAGGTGACGCCGGCTGGCCTCAAGGCCATCGGAGAGATCGCGTCCGAGTTTGGCCTGTACACCAAAATCACCGGTGGGCAGCGCATCGACATGTTCGGCGCCAAGAAGCAGGACCTGCCTCGGATTTGGGAGAAGCTCGTCCACGCTGGCTTCGAGAGCGGCCACGCGTATGGCAAAGCTCTCCGGACCGTCAAGTCGTGTGTTGGCAGTACCTGGTGCCGGTTTGGTGTTGGCGACTCGGTCGGCCTCGCCGTCGAGCTCGAGCACCGCTACAAAGGTCTCCGGGCGCCTCACAAGCTCAAGGGAGGAGTCTCTGGCTGTGTCCGAGAATGCGCCGAGGCGCAGGGCAAAGACTTTGGTCTCATCGCCACTCCCAAGGGCTGGAATGTCTTTGTTGGCGGCAACGGGGGTGCCAAACCTCGCCATGCTGAGCTGATTGCTGAACATGTCACGCGACGCGAGGCAATCAAGATCCTCGATCGGTTCCTCATCTTCTACATCCGGTCGGCCGACAAGCTCGAGCGTACGGCTCGGTGGATCGAGAGGTATCCCGGCGGTGTCAAGGGACTTCAACATGTCATTGTCGGCGACAAGCTGGGCATCTGCGCCGAACTTGAGCAGGAGATGGAAGCACTCGTCGGTCTCTATCACTGCGAGTGGGCCAACGTGGTCAACCACCCGGAGCGCCAGAGGGCGTTCAACCAGTTTGCCAACACGGACGAGACGCAGAACGCCTCGGAACGTGTCACCGAACGAAGGCAGCAACGTCCCGCCGACTGGCCCGCCGACAGCGCCCCGCTACACTTCAGCGTGCTCGATGTTGCCAAGGATGCCAGGTGGGACTGGCGACGGGTCTGTAAGCTCTCCGATCTGGACCGTCAGGCAGACGCGCCCACTTCAATCACCGTAAAGTACGGCCATGTACAGCTGGCCGTTTGGAACATCCCGGGCCGTGGCCTGCGCGCGGCTCAAAACATGTGCCCTCACCGAAAGGCCTTTGTACTGGCAGATGGGCTGGTCGGCGAGGACGAGCTGGGTCGCGAGTATATATCTTGCCCACTACACAAGCGGAACTTCCTGTTGGGCGCCAGCGCCACCCAAGGAGGCGGACGCTGCTCGGACAGTGCCTACTCAATCATGACGTTTGAAGCAAAGGCAGATGAGGGAGAGGATGTGCTTCTCCGGCTTCCTCCCACCGACGTGCTTGATGCCGTGCTCTCCACCACAAGGTGGATGCTTCGAAAGGCCACAGAGGAAACGGATATGCTGGCTCAAGGCCCGGGTCATTCTGTCGAAATCGCAACACCTCTCCCCGCCGACAAGATGAAGGGGCACAATATTGGCGGTGGGACTTCGTCTCAAACTTCTGCCCTCGACTGGTAGACGTCGCCAAACACTGCGAGTGATTTTCTTATTTGTACAAATGAATAATTTTTGTAGCATCAAAAGCTCGTAAACAGTAAAAACTCGTCTTGGAGCTGAGGCGTATCATCACCCCCGGGACTAGCAAATCCGTGACGCAATCTTCTGCCAACCAATACACATTCACCTCGCATCTACACCCTTCCCCTGACCTTGATACGATTTCCATCCTGCCCGACCAATGGAAGAAGAACAAACTCTCTTATCAGGAGCAATGTTCAATCCTGGAACCCTGATAAATCACCAATCACTTGAGCTCGGTATGGACCGTACCGATATGGTCCCTAGCCCTACCCAGGCTCGCTGCAACATGTCTTATCAGTAGCAATCCCCTCTCTGATGATTTAACGCTGTTACAGCAGTTACCTCCTTGGTTTAGCTCACTTGTTTCCTTATCTATTCTCATCTGGTTCTAGATCTTTCATCATGACACCCCCTATCATAGACAGCACCCATGGACTGGGATAGGTCTGCTGGTTGCAGCCATGCCTCACAGCCTTACCTCCCATTCATGATTCTGCGAGTTGAGATCCCCGGTCTTATTATCCTTGAGTTTCTGATAAGTCTGTACGTGGCTTACTCAGTACTGCCATGCCCGTCTGGATCCTCATACACACTTCACACCACTCTCGACGCTTAAGTTATCGCCGAGCAGTCGTAATCACCTAATCACCTATCCTACAGTAGAATGAAACCTCGTTCTTCCCGTCATTATCAGTCGTCGTCCAGACCTTGTTCTTGTCCCATCATCTCCAAAGATGAGCCCTCTTTGACTGCCAGTCTCGACACTTCACACAAGCTCCGTCACCATATACTGATTTCTTATTCAAGTCTTTCAGTGAAAATGAATTTCAAAATCACTAGTGCAATCGCCTCAGGTGCCTCCCAATCCGACAGCAGTGACAATCAGGCCAGTACGGCATCAAAGCCGAGCATTGGCGCCAATGCCGATGGGGTTCTCACACCAGACGAATACACGACGAAGGAAGACACCAAGGAGCGGGATTTCCAAGAACCTTGTTGCTACAAGTTCCAATGGTCGTCATTATGGCGACGAGCCGAGGTCAACCCCATTAACGGCAAGAGCTTCACGTTTCCGCTCTTCCGCGTTTGGGATCCTTACTCAACCGCATTCTGGCTTGCCACTTTGGGCTTCTTCGTCGCTTTTCTCTCCTGGTTTACCTTCTCTCCGCTCATGCCCGAGGCGGTCAAGGCCGACCTCAATCTTACCCAAGACCAGGTCATCAACTCCAATCTCGCATCCCTCGGTGGTACGGCCACTGTGCGTCTCATTGCCGGTCCAGCTTGCGACAGATTCGGTCCTCGAAAAGTCCTCGCTACTCTCCTCATCCTTGGCGCCATCCCTTCCGGCCTCGCTGCGCTTGTCACCAACATTAGCGGCCTCGAAACTGTGCGATTCTTCATCTCGATTCTGGGCGGTGCCTTTGTTCCCACCCAAGCTTACACAACTACCTTTTTCGATAAGTCCATTGTGGGCACGGCCAATGCATTCTCGGGTGGTTGGGGTAACCTCGGTGGCGGTGTCACCGTTGCCGCCATGATAGGGCTGTACGACCGATACACCAAGGCGGGTTACAGCTCCCATCTTTCCTGGCGTCTCTGTCTCCTTAGCATTCCCGTTCCATGTCTGTGTCTCGTCGCTGTTACAGTTCTTCTACTTGGAAGGGACCACCCTGCTGGCAAGTGGTCTGCCCGACACCAGTTCAGCAGCACCGCCATGACGCTCGCCCAGCGCGACGAATCCGCCCTTGATGCCGACGCGTCCGACAAGAGGGTTGCCTCTCTAGACAGTGCTCAGTCGGAGCCGCTCACCTGTGCCACGCTGCTCAAGATCCTTGCCGACCTCCGCGTCTGGATGTGCGCCTCGTGCTATCTGCTCACCTTTGGTCTCGAAACTGCCATGGACGCGGCACTCCCTGGCCTGATGAATACACTGTTTGCCAGCAAAACGTTTACCGTCGTCGACGCCGCCTACGCGGCTTCCACTTACGGGCTCCTCAATCTTTTCGCTCGACCTCTAGGTGGAATCGTGTCGGACCTTCTTTATGCCCGATTCGGCCTCCGTGCCAAGGTGTACTGGCTGCTAGCCACCACCCTTTCGCAGGGTATTGCCGTGCTCGGCCTGGGCATCTACATCAATCACAGCGACGCCTCTATCGGTGGTGTGATTGGGTTCATCGTCTTGATCGCCATCACCGGTTTTGCAGCCAATGGTGCCTGCTACTCCGTCTACGGTCACCTGCGTCCAAAGAACATTGGCGCCGTGGCCGGTATCGTGGGTGCTGGCGGCAACTTTGGCGGTCTCTTGTATACCCTGATCTTCAAATACCAACCCGGCAGACGTCTTTCTCCTTCTCCCGTTGATCCTCACGGCTACAACTCGCTGGGGACAAAGTTCTGGATCGCCGGGGTAGTCAACGCTGTGAGTGTCTTGCCGTTCTTATTTGTTGGCCTGGGAGATGCTGTCTAGTAGGTATGTCGCATGTTATTTTTTTTATATATATAATAAATCTAAGCAGGCTAGTTTATTAGGTACGAGAGGAATTCTTTTTTTTATTACTCGCATGCAGCCTCTAGGGCTATAGCGAGGCTAATAGGGGCCTAGGCCCCTATTAGCAGTTCTAGCTAGCTATAGAGCCCGGGGGCTTATAACTAATTAGGAAAAGGGTAGCTATAAAGGTAAAGATAAAGGAAAGGTTAGTCTAGTTCCTCCCGCGTAGTGTTTTCCCCCTTTAAGGGCCCTAGGGCCCCTAGGTTACTCCTTCTTAAGCTACTTAGCCGTTCCTATCTCTATTTTAGCTAAGAAGCGTTAATACTACTTTATAACTAAGGGCTTAAGGGCCTCTATTATTATAATAAAGGCCTTAGGCTCTAAGGCCTATAAGGGCTCTTAGCTAGCTTTCCTTCTTTCTAAGTTATAATTAAGTCCTATAATAGCTACTAGGCCTTTAAGAAGGTAAAAGAGCTATATATAAAGCTTAATATAGCTTAAGACCCTTAAGTTAAAGCTTAAGTTAGTAAGGTTATCTTATATAGCTAGGTTATAAGCTTACTTTATATAGTAACTATAAGGGCTTTTACCTTATATAGGCCTAGACTAAGGTCTAAGCTAAGTCTATATATAAGAGGCCTCCGCGCTTATATAAGCTATACTTATACTTTTCTTTCTTTTCCCTCTTATAGATTATTAACCTTCTTTTAATAGACTATACCTAAGCTTATACCTTTACTAACTTTATAATAGTATAGTTTACCTTTTATTTTACCCTCTTTATATCCCTATATATAAAATAGCTATTTTTAGCTACCTTTAAAGCTAACGTTTAATTACCTAGTCTAGTTAAACCGCTTATACTAGTATATATATATATATAAATATCTATACTCTTATAGTTATAAAATTAAAGCAAACGTAATACTTAGTTCGCTTAGGTAATTAAGAGCCTCTTATTATAGTAAGGCTTTATATAACTAAGAGCGGTACTACTATACGTTAGTAAGTTTAACGGCTCCTTTATAAAGCTTAAGCTATAGCTACTTTATATAAAAGTAAAGCTTTATATTAATAGCGCTATAATAAGGGATATCTAAGCTTAATTTAACTATCTTTATATAAGCTTATCCTTATACTTATAAAGGTATCTCTTATTATTTATATATATTAGTATAAATAGACTAGCTAACCTCCTTATAAAGCTTTATACTAATTATAGCGAACTTAATATAGCTAAGTTAATAGGCTAAGAGCTTATAACGCTTTATTAAAAGTAAAGTAAAGGTATTCTAGCCTACCTTATACTTTTTAGTAGAGCTTTAAAATCTATTTATAAAAGTTAGCTTTATTTATAATATTTTAAGTAGTAAATTATTTTATTTATAAAGATCTTAAAGCTCCTTTTAACTAGATAGTAAAGCGTTTTTAAAGTTTAGTATACTAGGTATTATATCCTTAGACTAAGGTATAAAATATAGCTTAGTTAGATTTACTAAGATTGCTAGAATACTATTTAATAGTAGTTTTATAAAGTAAGCTAGGGATTAATATCGCTAGTTTATTAATAAATTAATCGATGCTTTTATATATAATTATTTTCTTAGTTTTTTTAAGGACGTTAAACGTTATATTAAATAAGCTAGTAAGGTTAAACTTTTTTATATCTTTTAGTTTAATATATATTAAGAGTACTTACTGAGGGTTTATAGTAGTATTATCCTTAGTTTCTCTTACTATAGCTTTTACTAATAATCCTATAAGAGCTTTTTTTATAATTAAGCTTACTAGCTAGTTTACTAAGGTTATTATCGCGAATATATTATTAAGGGTAGTATTATTAAGAAGTTCTTTTTTATCTTAGTCGTTATAATTTAATAAACTTTTAAGGATTTATCTTTTTAATAAAGGTAGTTAAGGTAAAGTAAGGGAAGCTATACTATACTAATTTATATAAGGCTTTATTTCTTATAAAAAGAGATATAAGAAGTAAATATAAAGTATATAAAGGTAAAATAAAAAGTATAGGGTTAAATAAGTAAGGCAGAGATATTTAATTCTTATAGGGGTAGTAGTTATAATAAGGGAGTAATTATTATATTACCTTAAATATCCTTCTTTCTTTTATTTAACGCCCTTCTTTATACCTATTTAGTATCTCAATTAATAAAAAAGATCTTACTTAAAGACGCTACTAATATCCTCTTAACTACTAAGCTTTTTATTAGTTTTTCTACTTTATTCTAGCCGTTACTAGTATATCTATCTTATCTCTTACTACTTTTATAAGAAGCTATCGCTACTTTTACTTCCCTTCTTACCCTTACCCTCCTTTCTATACCTCCTTTTAGCTCCTTCTTCTAAACCTATTTTTTAGCTTCTTAGGTCCCTTATACTATAGGATAACTCTAAGAATATAAATTAAGCTACGCTTTATAGTATACCCCCTTAGCTATAGCTTACTTTTATAAAAAGGGTAAAGCTAAATAATTAGGCCGGTAAGTATATAAAGGAGGTCTTAATTTATACTTATCCTTTATTAAAGAAATCTAAGTTTTTGCCCTAGGCTCTTTTAAACTTACTTTTAGAAAAAGGGGCCTAAGAAGGAAATTAATTCCTATAAGAAAGGGGGGCTTCTTTAAAGATAAGTCCTTAAAAAGAGGGCCTTTAAAAAGAATAAATCCTAATTAAGCTAAGGGCCCTTCTTTAAGATAAGTCCTAGTTCCTCTCTTTAGCTATAAACGTCTCCTTTATCTTATATACTATTAGCTCCTCTTATAGACTCTTAAGGCGGGCTTTTAAGGATAGCTTCTCTTAAATATCTTTTAGCCTAATTTACTATAAAAAGATAGCTAGCTTTTACTTTAATAAGGGCTTTATAAGACTATTAGCTTTTATCGTTACTATTAAAACTTAATAAATAGAAATAAGTCCCTTTTAGACCTCTTAGCGTAGCTAATACTAGTAAATATTAATATACTATAGCTAAGTTAATAGTTTACTATTTTCCTTTATAAGAATTTATATAGTCTATATATTATTATATTTTATAGATAATAAGGACGGAATTTATAGTTATAAAGATATAAGTAGCTAGCTAAGGAGAATCGCTTCTTTTAATGCTTTTAAAAGAGTTAGTAGCTCTACCTTTATACTTAAAGTTATAATAATAGCTTATTTTAAAGCTCTTTAAGTAATAGTTCCTTTAAAAAGAGATATAATATACCCTTATAAGCTTTTTCTATTTAAGGAATTATTTATAAAAAACGAATCCCTTAAATAAAGGAAGATTTTAGTAGCTAGTTTCCTTCCTTACCCTCCTTAGTATAGACTATATAATCTTATTAAATAAAGATAAAGGATAGCTTAGTTTATATAAAAGTCTTTAACTATTATAGGTTATAGGCTTAAGCTACGGCCTAAGCTATATAGTTATATATAAAGGGCTAGATCCTATATATATATATATAGGCTAGCCGCGTATAAGAGAGCTCTATATAGCTTATTAATATTATCTTATAAACGGCACCTACGCGTATGCCTCTACTTACTCCGTAATAGTATAAGCTATTAACTAATAGATCTAATAGATATCTCTTTAGAGAGGGCGCCTCCCTTTTAAGGAAGTACTCCGCCCTTCCTTAGACGGATAGGAAGTATCGTAGCTATCCTAGAAGCGATTAAAAGCGCGACGGCTAGCGAGAAGGACGAGGTTCTCGCTATACTAAGGGAGCCGTCTACGAGACTAGCTTTAACCCCTACGACCTCTATAACGCCGGTTACGGCGGCGATACTACTAACGCGGAAGCCGCTCCTTTAGTTAACTTAGGACGGTAAGCTAAAGTCCTTTTACTTCTTCCTTAGCTAGCTATAGACAAAGTTTATAACTAATAAGAAATAGGGCCTAAATAGCTATTATAATATAGCGTAGTATTTACTCCTTTATACGCTACTAGAGCCCTAGATATAGTAGATCTTTAGATTCTAAGATAAAGGCGGCCTTAAGGGTAGACGCGACCTATAAGACTTCTTTTAATACCTTATATATACGTTCGGCAATATATAGGAGCGGGAGAAGGCATAAGATAGGCTATAGACCCTTAAGTAGAGAGACGGATAAACCTTTAGCGAATTCCTTCCTAATTTCGAAGAGACGCTCTTATAAGTAGTAAGGACTATAGTATAGGAAGATAGCGCGAAGCTTATATAGCTATAGAATTCGATTATACCGGCCCTATAAGAGCTACTTATCCTTATAATTATACTTACTAACTATAGCGAGTATATAAGCCGGTTAATAAAGGTAGCTTAGGGCTATAAGTAAACGCTATGTTTTTAAAAGCTCTATAAGCGTACGCTATATAGCGGCGATAGGATTACTACCCCTTTATAAGATAAATAACTAGCTATCGATATAGATAGGGATACCTTAATATCGGCTACCTATATAGACCGGGCTAGATATAGTAAGAAGACGCCGTCGACTACCCCTTATACCGCCCCGTACCCTAAGTAGTAGGCGAAGTAGGTAACGAGCGAGGAAATCGGAAAGAGGAAGGCTAACGGCCGCTACCTATATTATAGAGCATCTATATACTTTATATTAAAATGCCCTTTCTTTTTAGCTAAGCGGCCTATAGCGGTTTAAGTAGCGAAGATAGAACCGCTCTTTACCTTAGATAATAAGGAGGACTCCGCCCCCTTAGGCCTAAAGGAAAAAGAGTAGCTCTAGAGTAAAGACGGGCTCTAGAGCCCTAATTACTAATACTAGTAAAGGAGAAGGAGGAATTATCCGCTTATATAAAAGAGGAGCCTACTTTAATATAAGTTATAATTAATAACTCCTTACCTATTACCGCCCTTATAAACGAGGGCTATTAGTACTATACTATAGTTAATAAGGCGCTTATATAAGAGATATAAGTACTAGTAGAAAAGATCGCCTTAAGGTAAGTAAAGGGCGCCTTAAGCGTAATAGA